AAAAAAAAAAAAAAAAAAAGCCAGGATATTAACTGGCACATTATTGTTGTAACATAATATATATTTATTATTAAAGTTTTCAAGTTTTGCTAGTTGCCTTTAATAGCAAAATGCATCAAGTTTAGGTTTATGTGTTCCATTTCATTGTCACATCTTCTAAGCCTCCTCCCCTCGTCTGGAACAAATCCTCAATCTTTCCTTGACTTTCATGACCTTTCACTTTTTAAAGATAACTGGTCACTTATTTTGCAGAATGTTTTCTCAATTTGTTTGCCTGATGTTTACTCATGATTAGATTCTAGATGTGTTCTTTGGAGGGCATGTTATAGAGATGCTGCTGCGTTCTACTAAATGCATCCTACACAGTTGGAGCACAATTCCAATCTGCCCCAGTGCCTATAATGTGCACTTTGATCACTTCATTAAGGTGGTGATTGCCTCTCCACTGTCCAAATTCTTCTTCTCTTTGTAATTAAAGAGATTCTGTGGGGAGGTACTTTGAAACTATAGACATAGTGTTCCTCAAACTTTCAACTTATTTATACTAACACAGAGTCATGATTTCCTACTTTAATAGGTTATAATGTTGTAATATTCATTTTAATGTTCAAATTGTTCTAGATGGAGTCAGGAGTCCAATCAAGATGGCTTCTGTGTCTTTATGGCAAGTCTCATCATTTTTTGAATAATTCCTTGCCTTCTGGCACAGGGTATTCCAGGCTGATCTTGTGTTTTCCTGCCCCAGCTCTGGAATCAGACATTTCTCCAAGGAGCCCTGGTTCTTCTTAATGGACAATGGTACTTAAAAGCCACGATCCAGGTGTTAGGTATGTTCATTGCTATTGGGGTGTTTCTGCTCCCAAGCACTCTCTGTGTAAAAAACTAGAGAATATGTGAATATACATACATACAATGAAATCTATATTTCTCTCTATATATGTACACAGAAAACCAGGAGTTTGCTTCCCCCTCCTCATCCAGTTCTGGCTTTAACACCCCACCCCACCACAGGCTACTCAGGCTCTGACTTCTGTGCACTCCTGTCCCCACATGTGGACACTCTCTTAATTTGGTCAAGATCTGACACACTCCATGTGGACCTGTCCTCTGTGAGAATGCCCTCCTCACCCTGCTCTGACTCTGATAAAACAAAAGTAAATTCTTAATGAGAAGTAAGGTGACATCAAGAAAACTCAAATTACTAAAACCTAAAATGTGAGGTACCTATGGAATAAGCCACCTTTATCATCCCCAGTCTCTGGATGCCACACATTAAGAACAGGCACACTGGATCCACTCTGTGGCCCACTTTATCTAGCATGCTACTTCTACCAAAAAAGTCTAAAGGATGTGTTGTGGAGGGCACTGCTAACCTCTTTCTTTCAGGTCAATCCCAAAGATCAGGAACACAACATTCAAGTTACCCTTACTATTTTGAGGGAAGTTACATCTCATAAGTTTGTTCCCTTCTGTGTGAAGCAGTCCTTTCTTCATGTGTTTTAAACTGACCTCTTTAGAGCTTTTATGAGGCTGCATACTTCATACATAACATACATACTCTAGAATTTAAGGCATAAATCCATGCTCTTCTCTAAATCCACTCATGATTTTATAAACTCCTCATATTTTAATCTATCAATCTCGATCATTTACAGTTCTTGTCTCTGCAATTTCCATTAACCCTCACTCTCTTTTTATCTTGAGGTGCATCAGACATGTACCAAATATTACTGTTATGAACCCAACATGGGCTTGAGAAGGGTGAAACAATATTTTGTTTCCTTTTCAATCTGGTTTGAAAATACTTAATCTGGTACAAAATGGGCATTTTCTGTTTACCACTAACAATGGACATCACCTCCAGAGGTCACTTTTAGTTCTAACAGATAGAAAAATGAATCCTGAGTATAATTTGGATTCTAATAAGTATTTAACAGAAAGTCAGCTGCCACTTTTCTGCCCACTCATGAGACCTGGAGATTTTTCTATAGTTTATCCTTTTTTATCTTAGCATTTTACTATTATCAATAGCTGAGCTTCGTGCAAATGAAGTGTTCCACTGAGCATTCACTCTTTGAGATTATTTACAAAGGGCAAAGCTCGCAGGAAGACCAAAGTCTGCAAGAGCACAAAAACACTATAAATCATTACTCGGTTATATGTTAAAAACTCCATGAATGTTAAAGGCCCATACCACCACCACACTTCTCCTTTACACTTCTTTCCCATCTCTGAGTCTTGTCCCCACCTGTGACCAAGTATTTCTCTCAGTCTGAGGTTTTTGTTGTTTTTTTTAAATAACTTTTACTGAGCACCTATTTAAGAGTCTTTAAGGATTCAATAGTTAACAAATGGGTTGGTTCCCCTTCTACCAGAAGCCTATTCTGTTCCACAATTCTAACAGATTTTCCTCCAAAACTCTCAAGACAGTTAATTTTTGTTAGGTTTTTCACATACATAATGCGAGTTTGAGGAGTAGAAGCTCCACAGGGTTCAGGTGTACTATGATGTGAAAGTGAGCATGGTGACAAGCCAAAATCCATATGCAAACCATTGTTAGGAAACACATCAGGGGAAGGGAATGAACATTTAGTGACCACCTACTACATGGTATGTAGTATGTGAGGCTCATTCATATTATCCCAATTTAAAAATCAAAAGTTAGCGATGTGAGCACCTTCCCTCAAGATAAATAAATGCATGAATGAGAGATAACAGGAAAATGAGAGAGCTGCTCACTTTTCTTTCACCAGGATTCCTCCCAACTTTTTATCCTGCATTAGCGGAGTCTTACATTCCCTACTAGTCATAAGCTCCGTGAATTCCAGAACCATGTCTCACTCATCTGTATAATCCTTAGAGTGTCTAGAACAGTGACTGAGGTATCTTTAGTTTAAAGTTATTGGAGGGCAGACTATAGTTCATTTAACCGATGCGGTATCTGAGGCCCTGTAAAATATTCTGCAACTTGTCCAACGTTCTTTACTTAAACAGGAGAAATAATAAATATGCTACCCAGGCTCACTTGACTACAATGCATCCTCATTACTATTACATAGTTTATTCTTGACTACTTTGAGTGATCAAGGAAATGGCAGAATCTACTGTAGTTGGTAAATCTGGAAAGGCAACATACCAACTCTCAATATAAACAGAAACTTCCTTTTGGTTATAAATACCAAAACCAACAGTTAGCATTTGAGTGCTTACTAAGAGCCAGGCACAATGTTGAGCTCTTTACGTATGAACTTAATCCTAACAACAATCCTATTAGAGAGTACCTAGTATTATACCCATTTCATAGATGAAGAAATTGAATCAAGGAAGTACACTGACCAAGAAAACACATCTCTAATCTTAGAAGCATGAAAATTTGATCCTCATTCTGTGAGACTCTAATAAGAGTCTCTGCTCTTAACGATTTCCCTACAGAATGACAAACACTATTTACCTTTAGATACCAAATATACAAGGCAGCCCCACAATGTGAGGTTCCTGTGGACTAAATGGACAGGAATGGAAAGTGACAACTGCATGCAAACTGTACATGCATTTATATTCAGATGTATAAGGTCAGTGGAGATAGAGTGAGGGGTTCTAGTGGGATTCTGAAGCTAATGTGAGCCAAGCAGCGTGGAAGAGCCTCCCACCTCAAATATACAAGTCTTTTGTGGAGCTTCTTGGTAAGGTACACTTTTTTCTTAGCAGAGCTCAAACACGATGAAAGAAAACCATAATAGCTGCTTTGAGTTGGCAGCTAGAACTGAAGAAACCCAATGGTTCATTGCACTCGTCTCTCTGTACACCCCTTCCTTCCCTGTTCATCAGCCCAGCAGATATGCCAACAACACTCTCAAGACTCCTTAAAAGCTTCCAAATCTATAGCCCAGACCCTACATACACTTTACACAACTTAGGCTGTCCTTACTGTTAGAGACTGTGAGAAGTGGAATCGTCTCTCTACTCGAGAATCATTGGGTAATTTGAAAATGATCTTGACACTCTCAGGGTCATCAGGGGAAGGCTCCGGGGGCAGGCACTCCAACTTCCTTTCCTTTTCCTCTTGTAAATTCTGTATAGACACAAAGCAAAATTGAGGCTATGGCTCCAATAGGGAAAACAGAAAACAGCAATACCATCACCACGTAGGTTTACTGTGAGGCCAGAAGAAAAATTAATGACTAATATCTAAGACAAACTTCTTGGGAAAAGTCAGAAACACCCAAATTCAAAGTAGGATTGCATCACATGTATTATTTATTAACTATGTTAGGGCATTTATCTATCCAAAAAAAGGCTTAAAAAATGGCTAAAAGGAGTGGCTGGGTGGCTCAGTCGGTTAAGTGTCTGACTTCGGCTCAGGTCATGATCTCACGGTTCGTGAGTTCGAGCCCTGCGTCAGGCTCTGTGCTGACAGCTCAGAGCTTGGAGCCTGCTTCACATTCTGTGTCTCCCTCTCTCTCTGCCCCTTCCGTGTTCATGCTCTGTCTCTCTCTGTCTCAAAAATAAACATTAAAAAAAAAATTTTTTAAAAAAAATGGCTAAAAGACACTGGCTATAATCAAGTGGCAATGCGTGATGAAAGAAGATCACGAATGAAATGCCAAATTAGCTAACACTGGTGCTAAAAAAATAAAAACTGCTGTGAATTAACAGCATTTTGACTGCTTGTTATCCATTTATGCTTACTTTTCATGGAAGAGAGTTGTTTTGCCTTTTACTCACTGTTGTT